GAGAGAGAGAGAGAGAGAGAGAGAGAGAGAGAGAGAGAGACTCTAATATGATGTAAATAATTTAGAAATATGATAGTATCTACCAGAAGAAAACATTAGAAAGTTATAAACAAGGTGGCACTGGATTGAAGATTGGGAGTGGAAGGCATATTTCTGACATGCATTAATGTAATGGAAAATAACTTGCAGATATATATGACAGGGAGCCCAGTTCCAAGCACAGGTAAATAGATCCATGACTACTCATAAAATATTTGCTAATCAAGTGTGATGAGAGACAGTTCCCTGTGTGCTAGACTGACTGCTCTTTGAGGTGTAGAAAGTGTAACACTCCATTCCTCTCACACAAAATGTCTCCAATTATATGTGAGGACAAATGAAAATGCTCTTACAAATTGTACCATCTCCATCAGTGGTCACACTACCCCTGTGGGAGAGTAACAAAAATGTCACCCATATTGTCAACCAACTTATATGCTCCCAAAGACCCCTGCTTCTGCCTTGAGATGATTCAGTCACCAAGAAATGCTCCCAGTCTCTCCTACTGAAAATATGTAGAAGAACAATTTCATTTACCAAACATGTACAGATTTTTTTCTATGTCATTTCCTAAACAGCACAGAACATCCATCTCCATAAAGTTTACATTATATTAGGTGTTACAAGTTATCTAGACATGATTTGAACTCTGGAGGATGTACCTAGTTTATATGCAAACATTATAGTACTCTATTTTTAAGACTAATTTTTAAGCCGGGCGGTGGTGCATGTCTTTAGTCCCACAAAAAAAAAAAGCAAACTAATTTTTAAATTGCGCATGTGTGTGTTTGTGTGTGTGTGTGTGTGTGTGTGTGTTATACATATGAGTGCAGTGCCTGAAGAGACCAGGATAAAGCATCAGATGCCCTAGAGCAGAAGTAAAGTACAGTTTTGGGATGTCTGCTGTAGATGCTGGGGAAAGACCTTGAGTCCTCTGTAGGAGTGGTAAGTGCTCTTAACGACTAAGTCATTTCTCCAGCCCCTCTGTCATTCTGTAAAAGAGATTTGAGCTGTGGTGAATTTGCCCTTAGTATGTGGAAAGTCACACATAAGAAAAAAGATAAAGACTCATTGGAGTCAGGTCTTAAAAATCTTTCTTGTTATAATTAATACATGTTAAGTCTCTCCCTGATAGGCTTCTCTTATAACTGATTAGATTGTGTTTATCAAGCAATATAAATCTACCAATTTGCAGAATATATTGGTGTCAAGTACTAGGTTGAAGGAGCTGGCAAGACTGAAGCACTAGGATAGAGATTTCAAGAAAGGGGAACTCTAAAAAATAAGCATAACCTATCTTACAGCTATATACTAGGACCTTTTTTAAATTAAGCGTAGTGCATAACGGAAGCTAAAGTGATGGTTTAGCAAGTAAGAGCATTTGTTAGGCAAGCATGAGAGCCCAAGTTCAAACCCAGCATCCAAATAAAAAACCTGGTGTGGTGGTCACACACTTCTATCCCTAAGCTGTGGGGAGATGGAAACAGAAGGGTCACTATGGCTTGCTGACTGCTAAGCTTGTTCCAGGTTCAGTGAGAAACTATATATCAAGGAATAAGTTGGAAAGTGACAGGAATAGGACACCATGCATGCACAAACACATGTAAATACACCACACACACACACACACACACACACACACACACACAGTGTGTGTACACACAGTCACACACCAAGAGCATTTTTATTTAAAAAATAGTTATTTCAATGACTAAACAAAGCAATCAGAATGTTTGAGAAAGATAAAAAGTTCCACTCCATTTGGGATAATATTTTCAAGAGGTATAATGAATGGAGCATGAATTATCACTACAAACAACAGCCAGGATTCAGAAAGGAACCTAGTTAAGATAAGAAGTCTTCTCTCTTTAAAGGATAGGTTTTAAATTAAGTATTTTAAATTAAGATGAAATAGCATATGAACTACTTAGAAACAGGACAGCATTCACCAAAAAAAAAAAAAATGAGTTTAGGAAGATAAAGCAAGTGGCCACAGGGACAACAGATGTGGGAGTCTCATTTTTCATTGTAAATATCACAACACTTTCTACTTTTCATGTATGCAACTGTTACCTTGGTAACTTTTTAGTACTTGTGAAAGGATGTATTTATCCCTTTGAGTCCTGTATTTGGGGGGGGCGGGATTGTGTACTCCCAGAGGAATAACAGAGCTTATAGAATGAATGTGTTTATGTTTGTGTGTGTACACATACATGGCAGTGGGAGGGGGAGAGATGGGATTTATTAGAATGACTTACAGACTACAGACCAGAAAATCCAAGAATGGCTGAATGTGAATGGAAAGTCTAAGAATCCAGGAATTGTTCAGTCTATAAGGCTGGGTGTCTCGGCTGGTCTTCAGTATATTCTGGAATCCCAAAGAAGTAGGCTCTAATGCCAGTGAAGCAATGGATATGCTAGCAAAATGAGGGCGAGCATGCAAAGAGCAAAAGCTTCCTTCTTCCATGTCCTTATGTAGGCTTTCAGCAGGTGTGGCTCAGATTAAAGGCATGTCTTCCTGCCTCATGATCCAAATTAAAGACATGTGTCTTCCTGACTTGAGATCCAAATCAAAGGTGTGTGTCTTCCTTCCTCAAAAGCCATTTCTTCCCAAAGAAATGTAGGACCATGTTGCTGTCCAAAGCTCTGTCCACTGTGATGATTTCTCTTCACCCCTATCTTTCAGGGTTGCCCCAGAAATGGGTTACAATGCTGTCCACTTCTGAGTGGTGCCTGCATAACATGCAGAACTATCAGTAAACCAGGCCCTAGTGCTCTTTTCCTCAGTCAACAGATCATAGGGAACACCCCAGAAGGTTATAGGTGCATGCTTGGCACTGTAACAGGAGTAGAAGCCATAGGCATTCGAAGAACTTATTCATGTGTGTGAATGCTTAGCCCATAGGAAGTGGCACTATTAGGAGGTGTGACCTTGTTGGAGTATATGTGGCCTTGTTGAAAGAAGTGTTGTCACTGAGGAGGTGAACTTTGAAATCTCATATATACTCAAGCCACAGTCAGTGTGACAGTCTGCTGCCTGCGTATCAAGGTGCAAAATTCAGCTTCTTCTCCAGCACCATGTCTACCTGAACGCTGCCATTTCCTGTCATGATGATGATGGACTAAATCTCTGAAACTGTAAGCCACCCCAATTAAATGCTCTTCTTTATAAAAGTTGCCTTGGTCATGGGGTCTCTTTACAACAATAAAACCCTAACTAAGACCCAACCATAATAGCCCTCACTCCGAAGGTCAGGGAACCAATATGAGAATTCTGCCAACTTCTAAATATACCTATCCCAATTACACATTCTGTGACTGGGGGAAAAAACAGGAGTTTTCACCTACTGTGAGTCAGAGTTCAGCCAAAATTCTATTAATCACCTGACCTCCTATAGTTATATTATTATGTTCCTACACTTTAGCTGGAGGGCCACAATGTTTCCTGGGATCTCCTGGAATCAGCATAAATTCAGAACTAATATCCAACAGACTTTGGAAAGTCTGATTGTTTTCTTGCCCCTAGTGTGCAATTACCCTTGTAAAAGGCTATCGGTCCCTTTGGGGAAGGACTGGAGAAAGGCTGATAGTAAAACATTTAGGAGTTTTATCAAGGTCTTTCCTCAGGGGAACCGGGTCATCCCTTCTTTCAAGGGATCTGGGTCTGCAAACTGGCTCAAGTCTGCAAATTGATTCATGGGCCAAGATTGCCTGTTGCTATGATCCAATGTAACTTTTCTTTCATTTGTTTGAGAATTTTTCCACTTATACAGACCAAACAAAAATTCAGTAGGCTTCTTATCTATTTCATGCCTGGAAACACCATCATTAACTAACCAGTACCAAAAGCCCACACAAGTTATGCCACCATAAAATTGGCTTTGCCTGTGCTGACCATTATGGGTTAGGCAATTATGAATATTGCTTTGTCTATACTACCCATTATGATAACTATGATCTCCTTGTCTCTGGCGATCCAGTGCTGCCACCTGGTCCCTGCTACTTCAGGCCCATTTAAACCCATTGCATTTAATTTGTCTAACTGAACAGCAGCATCTCCAACCCTAAGGTTGGGCACAAAGAAAACGGAGGCAACAAAACTCTTCAAATATGCTAACACCCCTCTCACAATTTTGCATCTTATAGGATTAGTGAAGGGCATGTGTCCGGGCCTTCCCATTGTGGAATTAGGTTTTACAAATCATAGATACATTGCCGGGCGGTGGTGGTGCACGCCTTTAATCCCAGCACTCAGGAGGCAGACGCAGGAGGATCTCTGTGAGTTCAAGGCCAGCCTGGTCTACAACAGCTAGTTCCAGGACAGCCTCCAAAGCCACAGAGAAACCCTGTCTTGAAAAAAAAATCATAGTCACTCTGGCATTGCAATTTCCCGGAGCCTTAAAATTCCTTCATCAACAGTAAGCCAAGGGATATAAGGCATCTGCAACTCCTTTTGACAAATGCTTCAGCCAACCATTCAGACAGACTTTTGAAACCTTTCTCTAACTGTGCGAGCTTCCATACTAAACATGGGGTCTCTACTCAGAGGGTCAATATCAATAAACTCATCTTGGCCCAGTTTCATTTTCCTTCCACCACAATCCCCAGACTTCTGCTGGAAAGAATTAGCAAATTCCTTAAGACCTCTTCTAGCAGGGTAGCACACCTTCTCATGGACTACACTTCCTACCTCCCTCTAGAAGCCCGCTTTGCTTAAGTCTGGTTCCATAGCTCTAGAGGCAGCTATCGGTGAGCCCTGAGGGACATCAGTATTGTCTTGCCTGACATTTCCTTCCGAGAAAGTCACTGCTGGTTTACCAGACATGACATTAATTTAATCAAAGGTGAGAGGGGCAATATCTCAAGCAGTGGGGCTGAGGTACTACTTCCTCAGACAAGACAACCTTGAAAATCTGAGGGGTCAAAGTTCTCAGTTTCAAAGGGGTTCTCCCAGGCAGCCCCATCCCAAGTTCTAGGATTCCATTCTTTACCAATTAATGCCCTCACTTTAACTGCCAAAGCACTCTAAGGCTGAGACTTGTATTTTGCTGTAACTCAGCCAAACTTATAATGAGGGCTTCGGTTTGATTTTCTATAACTCGGGCTCTGTGGTTGCCAGAGAGAAAATTCTTTTCTAGGACAAACTTAGAATTCTTTAGACTGTTGAGGCACATTTGGAGCCAGTCGATTTTATCACTAAGTTCATTGTGGTCCTTCACTGTATTCTGAGATGCTAGACACTGATTAATTTTATCATGGAGCTCCTTCCTATTCTCTATCAATTTATCTAGAGATGCTACAGGCAACCAACCAGCAGCATCCTTTTCCTCATTTCCACCCAAACTGTCAAAAGTTTCATATACAGGGTCACCAAATCCATCAGCACTCACAATTGGTGAACGAGGATAATCAAATGCATTTATCTCCTTAAGTTTGTAATACAGGCCGGGCATTGGTGGCCCACGCCTTTAATCCCAGCACTTGGGAAGCAGAGGCAGGCAAGTCTCTGTGAGTTCGAGGCCAGCCTGGTCTCCAGAGCAAGTGCCAGGATAGGCTCCAAAGCTACACAGAGAAACCCTGTCTCGAAAAATCAAAAAAAAAAATAGTTTGTAATACAGATCACACCATGGACTTTCAGAAATCTCGGTGCTCCCAGGAGAGGGAGTATCTGGAGAGGCTTCAGTAGCTGTAGATACTGGCAAACTGAAAAGCCTATTCCAGATATTTAAAAGATTCATCTTTATACTTCTGTTGTTCAAGAACCACTTCTGGTACCAAAATCTGTAGATGCTAGAATCCCAAAGAAGGGAGCTCGGAAAGGATGTGTTTCTTTGGCACTGATTTCAGGGTCAGGGTGCATTTCTTTGGTTCTTGTTGCAGGGCCAAAGTGTGTTTCTCTGGGTCTGCTCAGGGTGTCTTTCTTTAGCTCACCCTTTTTCCTTACACCTTTCTTGTCTCACCTTGCCAACCAGCATGTCTGTGATGTCAGTTAACCAGGGAGGTTCATAGAAATTTACTTGAAGAGTCCTAATACGGTCTAGGGATGTTACTCAGTGGTAAAGCACTTGTCTATTATACCCAAAGACCTGGGTGTGAGCCTCAATACAGCAACAACAACAAAAAAAAGTTTTAAAAAAACAAACAAAAACACCCTAGTTCAGAGATTGGAGCAGGTGTACAGGCCTGTCCATTTTTCTAACAATTAGGGGCTGGAGGAATGGCTCAGAGGTTAAGAGCACTGAATGCTTTCAGAGGTCCTGAGTTCAATTCCCAGCAACCACACAGTGGCTCACAATCATCTGTAATGAAATTTGGCACCCCTTTCTGGCATGTATACTTACATGCAGACAGAATACTTCATACATATTTCTAACAATTCTAAGGTGTTGGTAAAATAGAGTGATTTCTTTTACCCCATGAATCAAAGTCCTTCTCTTTTTTATTGGGGTATATGAATCTACTTTCTACTTTACAAACCCTACTTTTGGTTTAAGGATCCCATGAGAGAATTCAAAGAGTAGAATGGGTAAGGCATAGCCTGTGTAAATTAAATGGCCCAGGGTGTATTGTGTATATGCATGTGTACATATATGTGTATAAGTGTGTGTATGCATGTGTGTATGTGTGTGTGTGTGTGTGTGTGTGTGTGTGTGTGATATATATGTGTGTGTATGTGTGTGGTATATGTGTGTATAAGTGTATGTATGTGTGTATGTATGTATATGTATGTGTGTATAAGTGTGTATATGTATGTGTGTATAAGTGTGTGTATGTGTGTATATATGTGTGTGTGTTGATCAAAGAATGTGCATTGTATTAGTCAGGGTTCTCTGGAGTAGAGAACTTACAGAATGAATGTCTCTGTCTCTCTGTCTCTGCCTGGTGTGTGTGTATATATACATATGTATATAGAGAGATTTATTGTGATGACTTATAGGCTGCAGTCCAGCTAATTCAACAATGAATGGCTGGCCAGGAACAGAAAATCCAAAATTCCAGTAGTTTCTCAATCCACAAGGCTGGGTGTCTCAGCTGATCTTCAGTATGTGCTGGAATCCCAAAGAAATAGAGTCCAAAGCCAGTGGAGGAATGGATGTGCTATCAAGGTAAGGGCAAGCAGGCAATAAGCAAAAGTCTCCCAGCAGAAGGTATGGCCCAGATTAAAGGCGTGTCTTCCAGCCTCAAGATCTGGATCAAAGGCTTGTGTCACCCAGCCTCAAAAGTCTGCACTAGAAGTGGATTCAGTGGATAATCTCTCACAGGTGTGCCCTCCATTTCTGTACTATAGTTCATTCCAGATGTGGTTAAGTTGATAACCAAGAATTGCCATCACAGATGTTCTCAGGCACTATCCACCTTGAGACTGTTTCTTCTGGGCCTTGGTCTCACCAGGATGCCGACCAGGGAGCCCCACTACAACTGGCTTCCTTTCTATAGGGAGTACTTGGGACTCAGGTCTTTGTGCTTTCAAAGCAATCACTTTCCAGACTGAGCCATCTCCCAGGCCCCAATTAAAATACTTCTACACCTTTAGAGCAGGAGTGTAGCTCAGTTGGTATGGTGGCTGCCTACATGAAAGAGGCCCTGCGTTCAATACCCAGCACTGCAACAATGACGACTCCATCTGCACTGCCCCCCACATACACACACAATGAATGCTGAACACAAACTTCACCCAAATGTCCATTCTGAGACAAGGATCTTTCTCAGGTGGCACATGAACTTCCTGTCAGTGTGTGCTCTGTAACTGTGCTTCTGTCTTGATGGAAGTCCTGCAAAAATCCAGTGTCTGATGTAAGGAGTTTATCATACATCTACTACACAATTACCTCAAGACAAAGAAATTATTTAGGAAACCCTGAATAATTGAGGGGTAACTATGTTGTGAGGAAAGACATTTGTGTGATACAGAGCCTAAGCAAGAAGGTTCTTTCTTGTTTGTTTTTACCGAAAGGGACTGGCCTAGGCATTGCCATGTGAACCAGGCTGGCCTCGAACTCACAGAGATGGATTTGCTGAAATTAAAGGGGTGCACTACCACGCCCACCTCCCAAGCAAGAAACTTTGAAGACTTTAACCTTCTCAGGAAGCAGAGGCAGATAGATGTCTGTGGGTAGGTCAACCTGGTCTACAGAGCAAGTGCCAGAACAGGCTCCCAAAGCTACACAGAGAAACCCTGTCTCGTAAAGCAAGAAAAAAAAAAAAAAGGTTCTGACCGGAGAGTAGTGGAACCGCTCTAGCAGTGAAGGGGAACAGAATCTGAGCCACGAGGAATTCTGTCTTCCAATCAGCCGTTTTTGTTCAGTCTGGAAAAGTCAAACTGCATTTGTCGTCCTACCGCGCGCCACTACAAGGCGAACACGTTCACAATGCGTCCTCCAAACCGCCAGGGGGCGGTGCGCGAAACTCGGTCTCCAATGGACCCTTGGCGCGTGCCAGGCAGGTTTCCGCCCAGAAGCATTTCCGCCCCAAGGATCCCTTGGGTCCCAGGACACACTTCCTAGTCGCAACTGCGCACGTGCCTCCACTGCTCAGTGCAGCCTGCTAGAGCCGCTCGGAAACATGTCGCAATTACAGATGAAAATCCTGCGCAAAAAGATCGAGAAGCGGAACGTCAAGCTGCGGCAGCGGAACCAGAAGCTGCAAGGTGAGCTGTGATGAACCCCGCGGTGGCGAACGATGTCAGGAACCCCGAAACTACGCCGTACGCCGGGCAGCTTCCGGCGGGCGCCTGGGACGCGCGGCTGAGCAGGCCGCCTGGGTCTCAGACCCCGTGGGCCTTTCGTTGGTCCCAGCCTTTGCCCCCGTGGGTTTCTGGGTTCAGGATCATAGCGGGAGGCCTGAGGCTTGCTTACCAGGCTTTTGCTGGCTGGGCATCCAGCAAAACCTACTTATGCCCCTTCATGTGAGACTCCCCCATCATCTGTAGGCCCCACGTAGAACTTTAGACCTGGGTGCCATCCATTTCCATACCTGACTTTTAATTGCTGGATCTCATCTCCCGCCCAAGCTTAGGAATTTTTTTTCCCTCGGCGCTCTTCCAGCAATGATACTGCTTTCCTCTACCTTCTGTCCAAATCCTTTCTCTTCATTCCTTCAGCGATCCTCATGTTAAACGCAGAACCCTCTCCAACTTCTTGTCACACCCAAATTAGTTTGTAAATCCCTTAACGTCTTGGTTTTGGCACAACAACTTTAAATGAAAAGTTGACACAAATGTTGTTTTTCTTGATGTAGTTGCTGTAGTTTGTTAAGGTTACCCGCAAGACTTAAATCAGTGGTCTTCAAACTTCCTAATGCTTCCTAATTATTTTGTTGCTGCTTCATAACTGTAATTTTGCTACTGTTATCAATCGCAATATAAATACCTAATATAGGACCCTTTGAGGGTCGCGATGTACAGGTTGAGAATCGCTGGATAAATTGTTGGGAAATGCTGGGGTTTATTGTCACATCCCACATAATTAATATTCAACAGATAATAATGGAAAGAAAGCCTAGAGGGTGCGACAGATTTAAGGTAAGTTCTTTCATTTAGTTCCTGTAAAATAATTAACACTAGTAGCTACTTGGTGTGTGTAATATAAACTAAAGGTGGCATCGCTTTCACTCTCCCTTTTTCTATACACAGGGAAACTTTGTAAAGATATTTGGGGCTTTCATAGGGCAAATGAGAGATTTTTCACTAACTGAATTTTCAGTTCACCAAAGTCTAGGAAAGTTGAGTTTGAATGATGTGAAATTATATAAGCAGTAGTTGTGATAGTTATGGGACTATGAACTAAATGTCATTCGATTGTGTTTGTCAAATACTTAATGTTAAAAATATATGTCTTATCGTTGCTGTTTTCTAATTCCATTGGTTTAAATATATGACATTGTTGACATTTTCCTGTCACAGACTTCTGTATAGCCTTAAACAGATAAGGTCTTTTTTCTTTTCTTTTGTTTTTTGTTTTGGTTTTTCAGGATTTTTCTGTGTGTCCCTGGCTGACTGTCCTGGAACTTGCTTCGTAGACCAGGCTGGCCTTGAACACACCTGCCTCTGCCTTCCAAGTGCTGGGATTAACGGCATGTACCACAACACCTGGAAAAGAAAAAAGTCTTTTGAAGTTAAAATAAAGCAACTTTACTTTCTTGGCCGGCCAGCTATACTAGAGCACCAACAGGTAGTTTCAGCAGTGAACAAAGAAGGAAAACTAATTGATTGGGGTTCCAGACCCCATGGAAATTTCTCCCTGGGAGGCCAGTGTTTATAAGTAAGCTTGTTCTTCCTTGTCACAATGTAAGTTCTGTGTTTTTTAAGCAGAAGCATGGGATTCAAGCGAATCACAACCTCAAGATGGAGCTGTGCTTAAAGAAGGAAAAGTTAAGAAAGCCAAAAAGCATTCTGTGAGTGTGGACTCGGCAGATGCACAGAGTGGAGGCATGCCTGAAGAGACAGTGGGGAACTCAAAAGTTAAAAAATTACCTCAAAAACCTACCACTTTAACAAATGGTGAAACAGCAGCAACGCCATCTCCTGATTCAGAACCAAAAAAGAAAAAGAAGAAAAAGAGGAAAATGGGAAATGATGCAGGGCCTGGTGGGTGTGTTTTCTTTGAGTATCGGCCATTCAGATAGCTTTTCAGCTGCTGTTCACATCCTTCCATTGTTGTGTGTGTCCAGCTTTCCCTGTGCACCAGCCTATTGGTAGAGACGGGAGGTGCATTTTAGTTTTTTCCCCCAAATTTGTGTCATGTTTTTAAATTTACTAACCTTAGAAAAAACTCACAATTGGTAATTTCTTTAGATTTATAATACTCTCCAAAGGGGTGGGGGGAACAGTTAGTTGGGCTTTTTAAGTAAACTGAATATACCATGGCATAAGTGTTTGCATTTTGCATATTTGAGAGTTTCTGAACTTTAATTAACACTGTGTGGTCTGGGCTGGTAAGGGGAAATATCTCCCTGGTCTTTATTGTATGAAGGTACTTGCTAATTTTATAAGGTACCTCTTAATTTACTTGTCTTTTTACTGTGTATTTTCTACAACCCCTCTCCTTGCAGAGTATATAAAATAACATGTAGGAAAGTTGTGAACAAGTAAAACACTGATTTCCAAGTGAGCAGAAAATACAGGCAGGGTTTGAACAGCAGGAGGGTAGAAGGGGAAAGTAAATTCTGGTGAAGGGGTGAGCCTCTTGTTGAGACGTGAACAGAGGTGGGTGGGTGAGCCAGGTCAGCAACCCCTCCAGCTCATTTGAACCCAGTGTGCAGTGTTTAAGAGTCATGGGTAGAATCTACTAGACAGTAGATTGGAGCCATCCTGTGAAAGTTGATTACAGAGGTGAGAAACTGGAAGACTCTCCTCTTTTGCCACTTATAATTTCACAGCCACCCAGTTTCTACCACCCAGCTGAGGAACCATTGTCCTTGCTTTAGTCTTAACTGTCGGTGGTAGCATAAAGAGCCTCAAGCTTTTAGTATTCATCTTCAAAGCAGAATTAGCTTGCAGAAATTTAATGGCAAGAGGAGAAAATATTGGTGTTTGTATGAATTTAATTTAAAATTGGGTTAATTGAACGTGGGCTACTTTTCTCGTGAAGTGTGGAGCTGTTCTGACATTACTTAGTGGGACTTTAAAAAATCTTTTTAAGGATAGGGAGATACTTTAAGAAACTTTAAAACATTGTTTTGTTTGCAAAATCATTTATACCTCAAAATTTTAAATAATGAATAAGACTTCCTGAGAAAAAGTTTATAACAAATAAATGTTAAATAATGTTAAACTTTGAAAAATATTTCTTTACATTATAGATCTTTTGTTCTCGTTTGTTATTTTAATAATTAAGGGGTTTTATCTGTCTGCTTTTTTTGTTTTTTAAACTAAGACACCAAAAAATCGAAAACGGAAGAAAATGCTGGGGCTCACGAGGAAGCAGAAAGCAGTGTGGAGAAGCCGAACGACAGGGAGGTGCCCAGCCTGCCCCTAGGACTGACAGGTGATGGCCAGGGACTTTGCTTAGAAGCATCACTTAGAGTTGCATGATTGAAGGTTCCAATGTGACTTTTAATTAACAGGAAAAAAATAGCAGCAAGCAATGATTTTTATAGCTTTGTGCTGACTTTATCTTCTACTTTGTAATACCTAGGCACTGTTTCCATGCTTTTTTTTTTCTGTTTCTGGATGAAACAATAAATTCTAATCTAAATTCTTGATATTTAAGAACCACAGAAACAGCCGGGCGTTGGTGGCGCACACCTATAATCCCAGCACTTGGGAGGCAGAGGCAGGAAAGTCTCTGTAAGTTCAAGGCCAGCCTGGTCTCCAAAGCAAGTGCCAGGATAGGCTCGAAAGCTAGGATCCATCTGCCTCTGCCTCTGCCTCTGCTCTGCCTCCCTAGTGTTGGAATTAAAGGTGTGTACTACCATTGCCTGGCCTCTATGGTTAACTAGTGGCTAGCTCCACACTCTGATCTTCAGGCAAGCTTTAGTTGTTATAGCACAAACAAAATATCAGCACACAGAGCCATCCCTCCAGACCAGTGTTTACACTTCAATTCTCTGTGGATTATTTCCTTGTTATTACCTGTTAATGCTCCAGCATGAGTCTCTTATTACTGTAAAAATGCTCTTCCTTTTTTTTTTTTTTTTGGTTTTTTGAGACAGGGTTTCTCTGTGTGGCTTTGGAACCTATCCTGGCACTCGCTCTGGAGACCAGACTGGCCTTGAACTCACAGAGATCTGCCAGCCTCTGAGTGCTGGGATTAAAGGCGTGCGCCACCAACGCCCAGCTGTGACAGCACTCACTTTAAACAGACTAGCTTACTGACAGTGAACAATCTTCCCTGTAGGCGCTTTTGAGGACACTTCATTTGCTTCCTTGTCTAACCTTGTCAATGAAAACACTCTGAAAGCTATAGAAGAAATGGGCTTCAAGCGCATGACTGAGATCCAACATAAAAGTATCAGGCCACTTCTGGAAGGCAGGTACGGTTGGCATTGGTACTGGGACATCGTGTCTGCTCTTAAGACTGTGGAGTTGTAAAAGAAAGCATCTGTACCCCGCTGCTTTTGTTCTCGGTGTGGATTCATGTCTGGTTTATGTTAAAGGCTTGAGTTACTTACTAGTGTTTGAAGAAAATTGTAGCAGTCTTCCTTTGTGAGTTGAGTGCATACCAACATGACTAGGCAGGGACTGTGCTTTGGAATTCTCACTTAGTGCCTGGAACCTGCTCCTAGCTCATGGTGTGTTCAGTATGCATCTGCATGAGTCGAATGAATGTCCTTCTCTTCTGCAACTAAGGGATCTTCTGGCAGCTGCGAAAACAGGCAGTGGCAAAACGCTTGCTTTCCTCATCCCCGTGATCGAGCTCATTGTCAAGTTGAAGTTCATGCCTAGGAATGGTAAGTGTCTGTCGCTGTCTGCTGTAATTAACAGGAGGTGAGCCTTGTGAGGAT